ATCTCCTCATTGTCAGCAGCGTCTGAGCACAGAGGGGATGATACTCAGTTCAATACAATGTAACTATAAATTCTACCCCATTAATTGATTAATTGAAAAAAAAAGCATTTTTCTTGCAATTCAAATTGTCTGATCAAAAAGCCATTGTTTTATCATCCAAAATAAAACAGCTTTTGTCTGTTGTTTAATTTCCAAATTAAAAAAGTATTTCTTCTTTTTTATTTCCCATACCAATAGTTTAATGTATGGGTTCATATGGGACAGTATGGCATGAAAATAATTTAAAGATCCATAAATGTCTTTCTAAATTCTCTTCAGTTTACTGCATTATTAAATATTACATAAATTATTTAATATCCTTTGTTTCACAAATATTTTTACTTGCAAACAAGATCAAAACTACTCAGCATTATATAAGATAACTACATACAACTAATATGGTATCTTTTTTTTTCTAAAAATGGACTGTTTTTAATTTATATACAGCACTGATTGACACACAGGGGAAAATGAAAGGCAATTTAGTTTATTTACACAGTAAACACCACATTTGTTAGTATTTTATGTTTATTATTTATTTATTCCTTTTTTAAAATTTTTTTACTGCCTCTGTGTCATGAGATAAAGATTTGACCATATATTTTCTTCTTGGTTATCTGGCCCCAGCAGAAGGTTGCCTGGGAGTTGGAAGGGTAGGCATTTTAAACCCCAAATATTTAGTTACCTTTTCCCAGTTAAGAAGGCAGGCTGTAAAGACAAGAGAGCTTGTGTTTGAGCTGGAGCCTCACTGTGTCTGAGAATGGGTGTTTATTACTCGCTTCATGAGCAGTAGAACTGGCTGAGAACTTAACAGTTTCATAGTGCCTCTTGTTTGTAGCTTAACTATTTTCAAAGATGGTACATTCCCAGATTGTACACATTGAAGCAGGCAATTACAGGAATGACAGGAATGCTGAACACAGTGATTCTTTTTTATTTTAGCAAGATCTGCTTGTTCATTTTACTTTTTATCAGTCCCAAATTTGCTTCCATGTAACTGCCAACCATTGTTCCTAGTTCTTCTTCCTGAAGCAATATAAACCACCCTTTCTTTTCTTTACTATAAAGTGCTTGTCTATTTGACATTTTCTACTATCAACAGATACCCATGTTAGACAATGTGGTACTGCAACTTGAATTGCTTGGAATAATTACGTATTTACAAATCCATTTAAAACATAGAACGTGAAACCATACCTGGTAAATCAAAGTCTAGCCCTACTTGGGACCTAAAAGAAATCTGTTTTGTGAAATATTTTTAAACTGATACTTTTTAATCATGTTATTTTTTTTGTGATGGTGTAAATGATTTGAGAATTGGTACAAAATATGATTACATATTGAGAAACTGAAAACTGTAGTACATTTTGTAGTTGTAACTGTAATGAAATCACACCGACAAACATTAATCAAATGTATCTTTGGGGCATTAGATTCTTTATAAAATCAGAATTTATCAGTAATTACAATGGAATGTATGAGAGGGTTATGACACTGAGGTGGTGAAAGGTATTTTGATGAAAGTTTATAGAATATTTGTAAGAATTTCATTTTTTTTAAACAACTAAAGATCATGGTGCCATTAACATATTGCATGCCTGTCGGCATCTTATTCTAAAGCACTCTCCACACAAGAGTAATTTTAATAATTAGGACTGTCATTATGCTACTGCTGACAACTTCCAAATGTCCACAGGGAACTGAAGGTCAGTGTGTATGTGTGCTGGTTTGTGTGTGAGGACATGTGTGCCTTTCTCCTCTGTTCTTCAGCAACATTTAGTCTGGCATAAAATCAGATTTTACTAGTTACAATTAGCCTTAGCCAATGAGGGCAGGTAAGGGAAAAGGGAATGCAATTCTAGGAGAAATGTTATTTGAAATTAGACATTTTGTTCATTATTTTTGTTGATTTCTGCTTTGAATGTTTCTTCTTGAATACAGAGAAAAGTTAATGGCCAAGAGAACTCTCATAAATACAAGGAATAAAATGAACACCAATAAGAAAATATTTTGCATGAAATGTCAAGTCAGTCAAACTTGACATTTTAAATCTTGTTTCATATTATTGTAGAGTAGGTGAGAGGCTATTCTGAGGTCCAGAAGACTATAAAAGAGTTTTGCAAAATGAAGGAGTGGAGAAAACCAATATATATTCTCACTGACACCCCCCCAACCCCACATCAAAATCACCTGAGAAGATATTAGAAAATACTGATCATGCCCAATCCATACCAGAGAAATTCGGATTTTATTAATTTGAGATAGGTCTTGGACATTGGTATTTTTCAATATTTCCCCAGGTGATTCAAGATGTTAAGTGGGAATTACAGCAAGAAGATCATTCTAGAATAGCATAAATCTAAAACTTGTCAGGCTTAGCACTTGATTTAGGCACTATTGTAAAGATGTCTTACTAATAACTAGTTGTAGTGCTTTATTCAGTTCCAAAAGATATGATTGTTGGGTAATAAATGGTTAGTTTAATAATATACTCATTTATTTATCTCGCCTTTGTCTAGCACTTGCCAATAAGTTTGAATGGCAAATCTGTCTTGCCTATACTACCACTTTATTTTTCTCCCACCTAAATCAGGTATTTGTAATAGTTCTCTTTTCCAAATAGCCTAAATAAAGCATCAAGGTAGTTTTTCAATATAGAGTTTATGGCAAGCATGCCTAATTAAATTTTTTTGAGGGGGGGTATAATTTCTTATTTTTCTGATTGTACATGTTGTAGAATCACATTGGTCATTCAGTCATATATGTGCATATGGTAATAAATGTCTGATTCATTCTACTCTACTTCCTATTCCTATATCCCCTTTCTTCCCTTCACTTCCCTCTACCTAAAGTAACTCTAATCTTCTCTAGCACCCCTCCCCCTTTTATTGTGAATTAGCAGCTGCATAACAGAGTAAACATTTGGCCTTTGGTTTTCTGGGATTGGATTATTTTGCTTTGCACAATATTCTCCAGTTCCATCCATATACCAGCAAAATTCCATGTTTTCATTTTTCTTTGAAGTTGAATTATATTCCAAGAATATGTCTACCAATTTTCTTTATCTATTCATTTATTGAAGGGCACCTAGCTTGGTTCCATAGTAAAACTATTATGAATTGAGCTGCTATAAACATTGACAAGGCTGCATCACTGTAGTATGCTGATTTTAAGTCCTTTGGGTATAAAGCAAAGAGTGGAATAGCTGGGTCATATGGAAGTTCCATTCCAAGTCTTCTGAGGAATGGAGTATGGAGTACTGCTTTCCATAGTGGTTGCAACAATTTTCAGTCCAACTAGCAATATATGAGTGTACCTCTCCCCCCACCATTTTGCCACATTTATTGTTGCTTGTATTCTTGATGATTGCCATTCTGACTAGAATGAGATGAAATCTTAGAGTAGCTTTGATTTGCATTTCTCTAATTGCTAGAGATGTTGATTTGCATTTTTTCACATATCTGTTGATCAATTGTATTTCTTCTTCTGTGAAGTGTCTATTCAGTCCTTTAGCTCATTTATTGATTGGGTTATTTGTTTTTTTGGTGTTAAGTTTTTTGAGTTCTTTATATATCCTGGAGGTTAATGCTCTGAGTTGCATGTGGTAAAGATTTTTTCCTAATCTATAGGTTCTCTCTTCATATTATTGTTTGTTTCTTTTGTTGAGCTGAATCTTTTTAGTTTGAATCCATCCCATTTATTGATTCTTGATTTTACTTCTTGTGCTTTAGGGGTCTTGTTAAGAAGTCAGATCCTAGGCCAACATGGTGTGGATTTGGGCCTTCTTTTTCTTGTAGTAGGTGCAGTGTCTCTGTTCTATTGCTAAGTCTTTGATCCACTTTAAGTTGAGTTTCATGCAGGGTGAGAGATAGAGGTTTAATTTCATTTTGTTACATGTGGCTTTCCATTTTTCCCAGCACCATTTGTTTCCTAATTAATCTTAGTTGTCATCTAAAATGTGATTTATATTCCACCTTTGCACAAAAGTTTGGGAACTAGGCATTTCTTGAGAAAGTCTTGAATGGAGACTTATAAATTTGCAAGAATACTCTGATTGCAGTATATGTAATACACTATATTTTGATCATCATTGTGAAGAAAATGAACACTTGTATATTTCTATAGCATAAAAATTTAATCAGGAGCAGATTCTTTAATGAAGAAGATATAAGATAGTTTAGAGAAAGAGTGAAATGTACATTCTGGAGAAGCAAGACCAATATTGAAGTTATAGTCAAAGCCAGACTAAGGGCTGTGTCCTTGGATCATGACACAAATGCATATGACAGACAGAAAAGGAAGAATTAAAACAAAAGAAATATGATTTTGTAAGGGGCATTGAAACAGATGCTTGTTCCAATCTCAGATGATCTCTGTTAATTTACATAGGATTCAACTCTTGTAACAGGAGTTGGGAAACTGGAAAAAAATATGTGCAAGGCATGAGATTCAAATTAGAATATTTTCAATAAAAATCTTTAAACTCCCAAATTTAAATATTAAGAGATTTGTTTACAGAGAATAAATACAGTGGGGATTTGTGCAAGATATGTTTAGAACTGATCTCATTATCATGTGTCTTCTTCCTTTTCATGTCTCAGAAAGGATGTGTCTTAGCTCCTATTCATTTTCTTCCTTACCATTAGATCTACCTCGTTTGCATATTGTTTTTACAAAGCTCAACCAAACTTTATTTCTTCATAACTTTTGTCCTTCATTATTGAGAAAAATCACTTTATATGATTGTGACCGACCATTGATCGTGTCCACATCCCTGGGTTTTTTCTTCAACTGTTGAGGATATGTATGAACATAGGGACCCTCTCTATTAAGTTCATTTAGTGCCACCATAGTGCCACACAAGACAGTATTGTCTTTATCTGCAGCAGCAGTTTGTTTTAAAATTTCTCTCTAGTTTTATTTCTTATTGTCAGTACTTTAAATTTGATTTTATTTTACAGAAAGACATCACTGTCCTCCTCCTATCAAGAAATTGAACTCCACCAACAGAGCACAACTCTCAAAAGGCATCTTGATCCACCCTTACCAGTGTTGTGGACTTATAAGGACAACTATTAGCAGGAACTAGCTTAGAAACAATTTTCTTCAAAGGGTCTGTATAATTTTCTTGGGAAAAAGTAAATATCATTTCAATATTTTACATTTAGATATTATAGTTGTAGTAAGAACCTATGTACTTTTTAATGCCTCAGTTACCAAAATATTGTTTATCTCATTCTACATATGATGTATATCCATTTATAAGTAAATTTTAAACTGATAATAATAGTTCATTTATAAATAAATTGTAGGCAAATAATAATAACAAGACACCCAACTTAACTTCTATCTATTTTTGAAACTTCAGGATAGAAAAGTAAAATATTGGTTTAGCTTTAATTGTTAGGATTAGTTTATGAATTTAGATAACAAATTCCTTGTGGGTAGGGGGTTCTTATCTGTCTGGATTTCTGCTTATCATCTGGTTTCTAGGACAGAGACTGGCACATAGTAGGTACTTTGTATTTATATTTTAGATAAATTCAAACATTTAAAAAGCAATTTTTTTATCATTAAGATATCAACTGTAGAAGAATTTTAGAATTTTTATATCTTAAAGCTAATACTTGTGGTCCCAAACAATTATGAGTTGTATCTCAGTTTTCTACTGTGAGATGTTAATATAGTTTATTACAAAATGATACTGGATAAGCAACAGCACATACAAATGTGGCTTCAGTCTTTCTGACAATATAGTTTCACTATTAATTTGGAAAATTCTTAAGTAAGTATGTTAATTTTTGTTATCCTAGCAGGAAATAAAAGTGTTTCAATAAGTCATGAGAAGCTCTGTTGAGTAGGAGTTCTTTGTTTGACTTCCTTAGGTCTCTCTTTTAAATAATGAGTCCTGTCAGCTTTAAAAACATTTTTAAATAGTTGTTACTTTTTTGTCAGAATATCTTCCTATTCTAATAATATTTTTCTTTTTTTTTCAATATAAATAGAATATGATTTCACACTAATGTTGATTTTTTTAGTCTATTTATTTTTTTTGATCATTTAGGTTAATGTTAAATAAATAAATATTACTTTTGAGATAACCCTTTTGACTTATCCTCCTTCCAACCACCAAAGAGGTTTAGTGAGTATGGGTGACAATATCTAACACCGAGTACACATAGCAGTGCAATTTATGTCGTCCCGATATTCAGGTTTTCCTATGTGTTATGCCCACATTTCAATTTTCCTGCCACCAATTAAGTAATCCTAAAAATTCTATACATGGATTGATTGGTAGGTTGATGAACATGGTCTTTCATGGTTTGTTTGTTCATTTTCTCCATGTAGCAGGCACTGAAATGCTCACAGGAAATATGAACACAAAACATGATTAAATGTTGGTATAAGCAGAAAAAAAAAAAAAGAGATCCTCTATTTAAGGATCAGGAGGTACCAGAGACATGCGAATACCTTTTGTTTCCCTTCTTCCATTTAATACAGGAAGTGTTAAGGTCCAAATAATTAGAAGTCTCTTCCGTCTCATTGCGCACACTTTGAAGGACCCATGGCTGATCAGGGAGCTACAACCAGCAGCAAGGAGTAGACAAAAGAGCAGCAACAGAATGGTCCTTATATCATGAGAAAAGCCCATTTTACAGTTGAGGAATTTGAGGCTCTAAGATATGAAGGAACTTGGCCAAGTTTCCATGCAGGAGAGTGGAGCAATAACTGAACAGGAAGGTCTGCTTCCGAAGTCCTGGTCCTTACCTTAGACTTCTGCTTTCTTCTCCCTGAACTACAATGGTGTCTCAAAGGCTACTCTTCCAAATAGGTGGCAGTTGATACGGAGGGTGGATTCTGCTTTTATCTACATTGTAGAAACGTAGTGTCACAGTTAACTTTGCACTTGGGTTCTCTCACACGTGTTTTAAACTGCCAGCATTGTGGTAAAATTGTGATAGAGATTGTTTACAATTTCTTTCATGCTTACCCCTGCTTCTTCCCTGTTTGTATCCCACCCTTTCCCCTGGATAAATTTAACTTGCTCTAGTTATGTCTGGCCTTGGAGGCATACTTGTAGTTTGTAGTGAATAACAGTGTACTAGGAATACTGATTGGAGAAATTAAAGTGACACAGGACACATCCATTGTATAGTAGGCGTGTGTTATTCCAGAGTATTTATTTTTCAGGTTCTGTGTATCTGAATATGGTGGTACATCCATCTGATTCTTTAGTACTTGGAAAATGTCAAATAAGAGATTTTTCTGAGAATCATCCACCTCTGTGGTGATAAGGGAACTGGGACTGTGCAGAGGCTGAAGTAAGAAGCCTGGACTCCAATAGACACAATTGAGAAAAGAAATGAAAAGAGTGCAAAGAAATCTTCCTATAAGTCTGATTTTAATTTCTTGTAGAAAATAAGGATGAGTTTTTTTATTTTAAATATGGAATACATTGAACTGATCATTCAATTATTGATTGCTAAAATTGAAATACAATTTTTATATTGATCTTGTATCCCGTGTCCTTACTAACCTTGTTTATGAGCTTTAGTCATTTATTATGGGTTCCTTGAGATGTCTTTATACACGATCATTGTCATTTGCAAATAGACAGTATTTTCCCTTTCAACCTAGATGCTGCCCCTCCCTCCTTCTCCCCCTCAGCTTAAAACACTGGTTTGTTTAAAACACACTGGCTTGATCCTTAAGTTCAGTATGAGAGAACATTTATTTTTATGGACTCTTATTTATCTTCAAAATAAGGGTTTTAGTTAATTCTTGGAGGGACTGGATTTCTCAAAATTTGGAAAAATTGGGTTTGAATTCAAAATTGAGTTAGGTAACCATATTACTTGCCATGAACTTGCTATAAATTCTCACATACTATGAACTTAGTGTTCTCTGAGTCATGTTCAGTTCTGGTTTTTATTTTGCATGTGTAGTAAATTCCTATTCTTTCCTGCTTTATTGGGATTTTTACTTTATACCTATTATTCTGCCTGCTTACCCTTCTCTTCACCGAATAACTGTAAAAATGAATCTTCACATACACTAGAAATTTGTGTAGAACTTTGAGTTCTTCACAGGTTAAGGGATTCCCTACCACATTCACCAGCAAAAACAAACAAATTTAAAATCACATGTTAGAGATCTCTGTTGTTGACATACCTTTGGCTGCTTACTAGTCATTGGTCTTATCAACTCACACACAAACCTGGCTACTATCAACAACTTGATGGTTCTTCTCTCCTCCCCATTTCAACACTGATGTATTTGCCCAGCCTCTTCTTTAAACTGTTTCTCATTTGTTATGTAGAGAATTTCAACTCTTACATGTTTCTACTTCCTAAAGGGGCTCTGGGACCAAAATTTTCTGTAGAATGAGTTTCGGGTTGTGTGGGTGAATGGAGGTCCATCTGCTCACTGGATTCCTAATCCTTCCGATCTGAAACGATATTTATATTCTCTGCATTGAATCACTATAAAATTATTTGGCTTGTGTCTTCATGTGGCATATTCCATAGAAATACCCCTAGCTACCTTTGTGCACAGTATAGATGAGCTGGAGTCAACACTTGCTGTGGAATCTGGAGGTGCCTCACTGCCTAGTACAGAAAGACCTTGTTCAAACCCAGTTTTGTTCTCTTCTGTGAGGACTTCTGAGGGTGACTCAAAGGGAACACGGCATTTGGTAGACACAGTTGAAATAAGTACAAGAAATTATGACTCTGGTTAGCTATAAATAAATGTTTTGAAGAAAAAAATGAAGAACTTCACTCACTTCCTTGGTATCATTAACCCAAAGTGTGAAAAGTTCTGTTATTTTCTTTTGTGTAAAAAGATGCCTGTATCTTTAAAAAGTCACTCATTGAGTGTTAATATCTATATTTAAGCTCTTACTGGTGAAGAAAGATAAATTGAAGCAAAACAAATTTTACTTTTGATGCTGAGAATCAAACATAGAGTTTCATGGGTACCAAACCCATGTTGTACCCTCAAGCTATACCCCCAGTCCAAGGAAGGTAAATTTGGGAAGAAACAATCATCAGAACTCAGCTTTCTAAATTTGGTGTGTGAAAATAAATTTTTACCATCTCTCTACTTATGTCATCATAAGTGAGTTATTACCAGATACAACATTTATTAACACGTTTTTTCCTGCATGCAAAAATCCTATGGTATAAACTTAAATATAATGAGGTATAATTTTGAGAAATAGATTATGAAAGAGATAGTAAATAAAATGTTTACATACCATAAGATGAACCTAAAGAGGTTGGCATAGGGCAGATCTGGAGGTTTCAAAATCATGTTATTCTTTAACATTTTTTTTCTCTAGAAATAGAGAGTTATAAAAATTTGTATATCCAGAGACACATCATTAACAATGTTACTCCAGTTATTTCTAAAATTATTATTCTAAGTAGTCTTAATTATTATATAATTAAGAAAGAGAATGCACTACACAGTCCTAATCAGAAAAATCCATTTACTAGAGATTAGCAACAATGGAATTACAACAAAAATGATAAAGCCGATTTATATTTGAAAGTACTATATGAACGTTAATTAAATAAGATATAACTAGCTCTTTACACTTAATATTCTGAATAAATTATACCTCTCTCTCTCTGTACCCCCTCCTCACTTTTCTTTCTTTTTTGTATTAGGATAGATTAAAAGAAAACCAAGATACATTTGTCCTTTCAAAATGTTAAGATGTTTCCAAACTGACATTAGAATAATGAATTAGTTGCAGCTAACATGTTATATTTTGATCTTTAAAACTCTATTTTAAGTATTTATATACTAGGAGTATACCCTAAATATAAGTTCAGGGGGACTTCATTGAGTGAGCTCAGTTTTCTTTTCAATTTTATAATTAATGTACAAAATTGACTACAGAAAATATGTTCTCTTTGTCCTGTCTTACTTTTGTTAAGTGATCTATATTTATATTCCTTCATTGCTACAGAGTGGTGGTAGTATTAGTCACAGTAGCGGGAGAATTAGTAACGGGACTATAGGAAGCATTTGTATAACTTAGTTATACAACATGTTGATATATTTATTATCTCACTTAATACTCAAATCATTATGATCAGCATTTTGCAGATGAATGTTTTGATGGGGG